CGTGATAGTATTGGAGTTGCTTAATTAGATTCAACTTTGCATAATCCTTTCTTTTATACATATTGAGATCACTAGTGTGGCGAACTGGAAAATGAAATACTAATGGGATTTAACTGATTGTCGTTTAATGGAGTCTTTTCATATCATCAGTCGAATTCTATGTGGAAACAGTATAGGCTTAAATAAATCCTTCTGAGAGAGAAAAGACGAGAGATGGCACAAATGGAAATAGAAGAGGTGATGAGACAATAATATCTATCCTCAATACAAAGATTCAAAATAATTCCACGTTTGTTTCTATTTTTTCGCTATACTGCATCTGATCAAACTGAAATATTCTTACGAATACTGTATCTTGTATAATTTGAGTATAAAATGCGAAAGCTCTGCCGAGTAAGATTTTATATGTTTGATTGTAAGTTTTTTGAAAACTAGTTTTACATCATTGTCGAGTAAAAATGAAAATGATATATACTACTGCATATAATATTTAGGTAATTTATCCTTCTCTCGTCGATTCCGATGATTACGCTATCGTAACTGCTCCACTCGACACTGTCTTCATTGCTGAAAGCACTCTTCCGAACGCCGTAAGTAATACATAATGAATCATATAGTACAAGCAAAAATGAATAATTTATTTTTACAAGGGTCTAGGAGTATTTGCCGCTCGTCAGATCCTAAAAGATACTTATTTTGGCCCTTACCTTGGCTACGAGCACAGTGATAGCCTCATGGCAGACGAAAGCGGTTATGCTTGGATTGTAAGAATGCAAACAGCTCGATATCTATCTTTTTATGTATTCATAGATTAAAACTGATCCGGATGGAGCGACATATTTTATCGATGCGATCGATCCTAGCAACTCGAATTGGATGCGATATGTTAATTGTCCAAACACTGTTAGTCAAAAAAATCTTCTTGCGGTCACACGTAAGATCACACTCGTATATAATTTTCGATTGAACTGCTTATATACCTCCAGAAGAAAGTAGTTGCAGCCGATGTTTCAAATATAATGTCAATGTAAAAGCACAATCTTTAAAAACTTGTTGTACATAGTGAAAGTGCGTGAGGTTTTCTATCACGCTGTATATTTATGTTTAGTTTGCACTTTTGCGTTACCAAAATGACTTGGATGGAATGAAGGTACCCTCATGTTTGGAATCTCACAGATGTGATTTTATCACTATTGCCAAAATTAGTTTATAAAAATTTGTTCATCCCTATAGAATGATCTTCTTCTTCGAAAGGTAATTACATATTCTGATAGAGGTTCAAATTCTCTATCCTTATATATTATTTACTTATTGTCTTGTGTTTACTTCCTATTATTGGTAGACCGGTATTTACCGGTTTCTATGGGCAGAGGCCGCTTGGAAGACCTACGATTTGCGGGTGGGTGAGGAATTTTTTTGGGAGAAGGGAGGAGATACACCCCTCACTTCCACGGTCCCTGACGACTGGTATAGACCGGTTCCATCTCTAATATAGAGGATGATCGAGAACTCTACGCACTTTCAGAATATGTAATTAGTTTTAAACAATGTATTTTCACCGTGATATCATATTTGAAATATCGATTGTAACTGTTTTTTCCGGCAATATATTTTGCTCTGTTTATAGATTTTGGCAACATTTTCTATCTAACAACGCGAAATATCGATGCAGGAGAGGAACTTCTAGTCTACTATGGGAATGATTACGCTAAAGACCTTGGTATTAATACTACACAGTTCTCTTAAATCCTCTATGGGACCTTGATTGAATTGAACAACGTCACGAAAATTTATATTCACGGCGAAGAAAAACGATTAGGATTCTAAGCTTTGTTTTTGTTTAAAAAATAAAGTTGAAACCTTTTCTTGTGGCATCTAAAAGTAGGGCACGATTGTGGTTGTGTTGATGCAAGAGTGTGCGTGTAAGTGGATCTTCTATTAACATCTGCATCAGACGTCTTGGCTCAGCTCTCCACTTATGAAATCTATAGAAGGT